AACACCTTTTGAAGTTAGATTCATATCCAATCCCTTGGGCCATACTAGCTCAAAACACAGCATGACATGTTTAAAAATTCTTTTGGGGTCTAAATAAAGGGATTCTTGTTGGGGTCTAAATAAAGTATACAGGCAACTTAGCTATCTTTTGGAGAGTAGCTCAGTCTTATTTCCCATGAGATCAGAAGAGAACCCACTGTGAACTGTTTACTAGTATATATCTCAGCTAAGACTTAAACTCTAATCTTTTTCCTACAGCTTGACATAAGCTTTAATCAGTTGCAAATGTAAGAGATACTTTGTATTTTAAAATCCAGTTGGTCAGTAGAGCACTCAAGCTAACTGCCAGAGTGTGGACGACTTCAAAAGCAAGACACAGTGTGACTTCTAAATTGAATATAATCGAAGAAATTCCCTTCATCCCATTTTCTCTCAAATTCAGAACAACCAGCATTCAATACACAAAACAACCAGTTAAAAACCAGAGTGCAGAAATAGCACAAAGCTAATTTTAACATAAATAAGCAGTTTTCTGTTGAGGTGGAAAGATACACCTAAGTTCAAACTTTAACGATTTAGGTTAAAAATTTTTTTAAAAAAATATTTTATTGATATTTTACAGAGAGGAAGGGAGAGAGATAGAGAGCTAGAAACATCGATGAGAGAGAAATATCGGCCAGCTGCCTCTTGCACATGTACCTTCCGGTCAAGGGCATGTACCTTGGTTGCGGGCACATCCTATGAGTGTATTACTATGTCCTAATACACTCATAGGATGTGCCCGCAACCAAGGTACATGCCCTTGACCGGAATCGAACCTGGGATCTTTCAGTCTGCAGGCCGACGCTCTATCCACTGAGCCAAACCGGTTTCCGCACGATTTAGGTTAAATTTTGAATGGTATCAACAGGTGGTAACAGAGTTAAAGTGAAACTAACAATAAACCCAAGTTTGAATGGCTTTATTAAGGCAGGCATTATGATCACCAGAACCAACATAATGCCTGGTCTATACTAGGTAGCTGTTGGTTTACTACATTAATTAAACATTTCACAGGAATCATAAAGATCATCTAATACAACTCCCTCATTTTATAAATGATCAAACAAAACTGAAGTATAGAGACTTTAGCTTATTTGCTGTGACAGTTTTTGAGCAATGGCTTTGTTGGCATGTCATGTGTCATGTGAGAGGTGAAATAGCATAGTGGCTAAGAGCTCAGATTCTGGCCCTGGCCAGAGTGGCTCAGCTGGTTGGAGCTTTGTACATATACCCAAAGGTTTTGGGTTCCATTCCCCTTCAAGGTACATACCCAGGTTTTGGGTTCACCTAAGTGCAGGAGGAAACCTGCAGGAAGCGGTTATAGGGTTAAGCCTGAGACTGACCTGCTGGCAAAGTCGCAAACAAGTCCCAGGTTGGAGGGCACAGTCCTCTAAGCATAAAGCTTAATCTTGTGACTGCTCCCTAGGTCTTTCCTGGGGAGCTAATGGGCTGTGGGAGGGCCAGCAAGTGCTGCCAAAACAAGTGAAACTTAGAAGAACATTGTAAATTACCTGGTTTGCCCCTGACTATAAATAAAGCATCAGCTTTGCAGTCTGGATCTGTTCTGTGGCCTCAGCCAGGCACAGAAGATCCACCTAGACCCAGCTTATTCTGTCTGCCTTTTCTTCATCCTTCACCGGCCCGCCCTCAGCTCGCCGAACCCTTGGCTGTGCTGGCGAGGCACAGAAACCCATTGAACTTTCTCTTTCAGAGCTCTGAAGCTTCTAGGCCTACATTCATGTCCTGGTTTGTGGTACTTATTGTATAATTCTGCACAAATCACTTAGCCTCTGTTCCTCAGCTGCCTCATCTCTAAAATGGGAATAGTACCTACCTTAGAAGTGTCATGAAGGTTAATATTAACTAAAGCACCAGGGACATTTACAGGCACAGTAAACAATAATATTAGCTCTCCCAAATCACTAATGAATATTTACTCTTGAATCTTTTTTTTTTCTATGCAGATCTGCTTTTCATACTTACTATGTCCTAATACACTCATAGGAAAAGTTCTAATTCTCTCCATTTGACAATGAGTCAGCAAGCTCCTAGAGGGGAAAAGATCTGCTCAGGAAAAGGAAAAATGCCCTCCATTAATGCGCTTCACACTTTCATTTTAAGGTTCACGATCTTAGAAAGAGTCTTGTGATCTAGAAAAGGAGGAAGGAGTTGTCTTTCTACCTTCAAGTTCTAGCACAAAGTTCTGGTCAAAATGGCCAAATGGAAAATAATAATGGAAGTCAATTGTAATTGAAAAAAAAAAAAAAGACCTAGCACAGAACCTGGATCACAATGTTTCCTTTAATGATGAATAAATGACAGAGCACAGTGCTAGCAGCTCAGCAAAGATTATGAAGGGGATAGAGGATTGGCTCATTACTGTTTTGTTTTCTTCCTCATTCTGCAAATCTATCTGCCACTAGGCTGCCACGCCCAAAGTAGGTGGCGCTTTAAGACTTTGTTGAATATATATATTGATGAAGTAACCTGGAATTTGGCCTTATGAAGCTGGGACTACTGGCAATGAGGATCCTCGTAGAAGAGCAATGCTATTTTTTGGGGGGGAAACACAGAATGTCCCTGTCCACACTAATAAGGTTCAATATTTACTTCACATAGGACAGGGATGACCATGTATTCATAAACTATTTTCCTTCCTAGCAGATTTATGCCTATTTTGTTAAAAAAAAAAAAAAAAAAAAAAAAAGATTCCTTCCTGCCGAAACCGGTTTGGCTCAATGGATAGAGCGTCAGCCTGCGGGCTGAAAGGTCCCGGGTTCGATTCCAGTCAAGGGCATGTACCGTGGTTGCGGGCACATCCCCAATAGGAGGTGTGCAGGAGGCAGCTGATCGATGATTCTCATCGATGTTTCTAACTCTATCTCTCTCCCTTCCTTTCTGCAAAAAATCAATAAAATATATTAAAAAAATATTCCTTCCTTTTGAAAGTCTTATTCAAAAGACAGACTCTTAAAGAAGGTACCGTGGTACAATGGCAATTATAAAGAATCAAATTCCATCAACAAATCGTTCCACTGTGTCCCACTTAACTAGCTGCATTACCATTCAAACAGATGCTGCAGCTACAACCAGGTGGGGTCTCCACCTGGGCCGAAAGGGCCGAAGCGGGGAGGAGTCAGAACGCCGAGGTTCCCCAACTAACTTCTCCCCAACCCCCATGCAGGCCCAAGGCGCCATCGCGCATGCGCCACCGCTAGGCGCGCATGCGTGCTCAGTCGGCCGCGGCCCGAGGGACTTTCCTTTTACACGCCCTGTGCGGCAGGCTCCTGTTCCTCCTAGCTTCTCCTTTTCATTAGTCCCCAAAGGTAGGATCCCAAGGATACACTCCCTTCCTGCAAAGCTCCTGAGCGTCCCTGAGTCCTTGGCAACTCACCTCGGCGGCTTTGGCTCTTTCCCCTTCAGCCCCGCCCCCAGACATCAGCCGGAGCGGCCACGCAGAGAACAACGGGGTCAGCGTGCTCGCGTCCGCGTAATGTGGGCGTGGCCTGGGGTGGGCGTGGCCTGGGCGGGCGGGTGGGCGGGCGCGGAGAACGCGCTTCCGGAGAGGACTTCCGGGTCCTTGATCTCTTCTCCCAGCCGAGGTCAACCTGCAGCGGCTGAGTCCTCTGCAGTGTTAGTTACATTGATGTACTCCCCTTTTTTTTTTTTGCTCGCTTTTATGATTCAGGGCTTCAGCTTCGATGGCACAGGCCTTCTGCTTTCCTCTCCCTTTCCGAACCACCAGGAAGCCGGGCTAAATTGGGTGTCCCTCCTGAGCGGGTTCGTAGCCTTGGGAAGGCAGAGGAAGAGTGAGCTGTCCTAACTCCAACTCTCTGCTCCCAGAGCTCCTGGTCTGAGGGCTCGACCTTGGCATTAAAGCCTTTGTGGAGCTATTTTATTTTATTTTATTTTATTTTCATAGAGGTCCTGGAGAAATAAGAGTATTACTAATCATGCTCTCTCTTCTCCATTCAAGTCTCTCTTTCTTTGTTATTTCTCACAACACGAAATGTCTCCTTGGTTCTGTAAGCCAACTATCAGAGTGACTTCCTGAGGGGGAGGCTGAGTTATTAGTCTAATTATTAAAGATTAATCTGTTTTCTTTGGAACTTTATTTTGGGCTTCAAGACTAATCCACCCATGCGGTAGGAACACGGGTTGAATTATTGACTCATTAAGTTGTGACGAGAACTTAATGGCTTCTCAGTGAGTGGTGCACAGTTTGTTGGGCAGTGGTCTCTGGGAATTGGATTCCTCCTCTCAGCAATGTGTCATCCCCCCGCCCCCCTTTTATTGAATTTATTGAGGTGACACTGGTTAACAAAATCATACAGGTTTTAGGTGCACAATTCCACAACGTGTCATCTGTACACCGTATTGTGTTTGAAGAATCATGTTGGTTAAGTCATATTTTAACTTCGCATAGGCAATTGGGTGTATATTTTAAGCACCTCTGAAAGTAGTAGGGGCCTCCCCCCCATCTCTGAGGGATAAATGTATTAAATATCCCTGATTCTTTTAATTATTGTGCTTCATAGAAAGGTGATACAATTTGCAAATGGTTAAACACAAAAGGTTGCATTTTACTCCTTTTAGGTTAAAGTAATAAACAGACCTCTTTCTTTCAAATCCGTGGACAAGCTGTATATAATGGGTTCAATATCTTTTCATTACCTTTTTTGGAGTGCTGAATAGTTTACAAATTACTGTCTCCAGTGAGCCAGGGGTGGTAGAATGGAGTGGGAAATGAAGCAGTTGACTTAAAACAGTTTACAAATAGGGAGGCCTGATGGAAGCAGGGCCGCTCTGGCTTAGGATGTACTGTGAACGGGTGCCCAGCTTTGCCCTTTCAGGCCTAAGTAATGATCCACACGTAGGGTTTTTCTTTCTGATCGAAAGGTAAGGTGATCGTTTACTTTTTTCAGGACTTTACTGGAATATTGTTTGGGGAAAGTAGCATGGAAGTTCTGCGCCCACAGCTTGTGAGAATTGGCGGACGGATTTACAGGAAGAATCCCATTCAAGAGCAGACGTACCAGCATGAAGAGGAGGAGGAGGACTTCTATCAAGGTAACCCTTGTCGCTCTTTGGTCAGATTAGAAGTAAAATGCTCTCTGAATTGTGGAAGCAGCTCTTTGTTTTGTTCCAGTGTGCTGCTCTGTTGTACTGAAATTTGGGATGATTGGCTTCGCGGTATTGGTGTGTAAGGGGACGGATGTGTTTGAGTGTAATGAGGAGTCTCCGTGGCAGTTCAAAATCTACAGTTCATCTTTGTACAGAGGCTTAAATGTAATAAGGGATAATTTTAGTTAAGTATTTAGATTAGCCATTAATATTCTGTAACAAAAGTAACTTCCTTTACCTGTAAAGTCGTGAAGTAATATATATATTTAAATAAGCGAATATATGTAAAGTATTTTATCCAGTGTCCAATAATGTTAGCTGTTATTATTGTTGTTATTTTTCTCTTCCTTGCAGACATATACAAGCATTTCCAAATACACAACTTTTATTATGATGCAGGAATAATTTTAAGAGATAAATTAAACAGCCAGTTAGTTGGTCAGGCTAATTAACTTGGGCAAATGCATAAATTGTTAGGGCCTTTGAGGTTCTCTGCTTTCTTTTTGTTTTGCTTTATAAGCTTTTTCATTGGACCCTAAATCTTGGAGGTTAGTCTCTCCCCTGATGCTCTCCGTGATTTCCATTCAGCTTTGGGGCCCTTTGGGCTCCTTTATTTCACTTTGTCTCTGCTGTATGGAGTAAGTTCTCACAGTATCCCTCCAACGTTATTCATTGGAAGAATTATATGTCCTAAAACTAAAAACAACTGAGTTATACATTAAAAAAAATACATTTTATTGATTTTTTACAGAGAGGAAGAGAGAGGGATAGAGAGCTAGAAACATCGATGAGAAAGAAACATCGATCAGCTACCTCCTGCACACCCCCTACTGGGGATGTGCCCACAACCAAGGTACATGCTCTTGAACAGGAATCGAACCTGGGACCCCCCCAGTCTGCAAGCTGATGCTCTTTCCACTGAGCCAAACCAGTTTCAGCAAGTTGTACATTTTTAAGAGGATGAATTTATGTTATGTGAATTACATCTCCATAAAAAATAGTAAAAGTTAAAAAATATAAATACATATTTTTATTTCAGAGAGTAAGGGAGAGGGAGAGAGAGCTAGAAACATCAATAATGAGAAAGAGTCATTGTTTGGCCGCCTCCTGCAGGTCCCCCACTAGGGATTGAGCCCGCAAGCTGGGTATATGCCCTGACCTGGAATCAAACCCCTGACCTCCTGGTTCGTAGGTTGATGCTCAGCCACTGAGCTACGTTGGTGGGGTAGTGAAACTTAAAAAAAAAAAAAAAAAGTATATTTTTATTGATTTCAGAGAGGAAGGAAGAGGGAGCGAGAGATAGAAACATCAATAATGAGAGAGAATCATTGATTGACTGCCTCCTGCACGTCCCCCATTGGGGATTGAGCCTGCAACCGAGCATGTGCTCTTGCTTATTGCAGCACAATCTACAATTGGAATTGAACCTGGGACTTTCCAGTCCACAGTCCAACACTGTATCTACTGAGCCAAACCAGCTAGGGCAGAACATTTTTTTTTCTTTTATTAAATTATTATCTGTGTACATATTTTAACATTGCCCCCCCTCCCATACATACCCTCCCTCCCCAGAGTTTTGTGTCCATTGGTTGTACTTATATGCATGTGTACAAGTCCTTCGGTTGATCTATTATCTCCCCCAGATCTCCCTACCCTCCCTGCTGTAATTTGACAGTCTGCTTGCTGTTTTACTGTCTCTATATCTATTTTTTGGTTCATCAGTTTATAATGTTCTTTATTATCCATAAATGAGGGAGGTCATGTGGTGTTTCTCTTTCATTAACTGGCTTATTTCACTCAGCAAGATGTTCTCCAATTCCATCCAGGTTGCTGCAAATGATGAGAATTCCTTCTTTTTTATGGCAGCATAGTATTCCATTGTGTAGATGTACCATAGTTTTTGGATCCAATCATCTGCTGACGGGCACTTAGGCTGTTTCTAAATTCTGGCTATTGTAGATTGTGATGCTATGAACATAGGGGGGCATATATCCTTTCTGATTGGTGTTTCTAGTTTCTTGGGATATATTCCTAGCAGTGGGATTACTGGGTCAAATGGGAGTTCCATTTTCAGTTTTTTGAGGAAACTCCACACTGTTCTCCACAGTGGTTGCATCAGTCTGCATTCCCACCAGCAATGCACGAGGGTTCCTTTTTCTCCGCAACCTCGCCAACACTTGTCGTTTGTTGATTTGTTGATGTTGGCCATTCTGACAGGTGTGAGATGGTACCACATTATTGTTTTGATTTGCATCTTTCGGATCATTAGTGACTTTGAGCATGTTTTCATGTGCCTTTTGGAAGGGCAGGACATTTTTATTAGGTCTTAGCTTTCTGGGAGAAAATAGTTGGGAGAAACAGTGGTACTAATTTTCCAAGGTTCCAAAATTTGAAGATTTGAAATAGTCAGGTGTTTTTTATTTTTTATTTTTCTTCTAAGAGTAGGTCACAAGGACCGTCAGAACAGTCCTCTGTAATGTACAGTGTTGGGCTGTTGTGTGTGCAAGTGTGTTGCTTTTTTTTTTTAAAACCTTGAGAGTGGTTGTCAGCTCGGGGAGAAGACTGTTGTCCACAGAGATTTTATGGTTTCTCTGCAGGCTTCATGGAGTGCGCAGAAGAACCCTGTGATGGCTACGAGGTGGTGCAGACCCAGCAAGGCTTCCAGTGCACCGTGAAGGCCCCCAGCCTGCTCTACAAGTGAGTGAGGACCTGGCAGCTTCATGAGGAGGCTTTTCCAGGAAACTCAGAATCAACCTGACTCTTCTCTCTTCCGTGCTTAATTGCAATGCTTGATTACTAATGACAAAATAGTTTAGGGTTTTATGTCCTAGAATTTCTTTTTTACAATAATTTATTTTTCAGTTACAGTTGACATATAATATTAGTTTTAGTTATACACCCCAGTGATTAGACATTATACAACTTACTAAGTGATCACCCCAATAAATCTCATACCCATTTGATACCATAACTATTTATTAGAATACTAGTTGCCGAAACCGGTTTGGCTCAATGGATAGAGCGTTGGTCTGCTGACTGGGGTGTCCCAGGTTCGATTCCAGTTCTAGGGCATGTGCATTGGTTGCGAACACATCTCCAGTGGGGGGTGTGCAGAGGGCAGCTGGTCGATGTTTCTCTCTCATTGATGTTTCTAGCTCTCTATCCCTCTCTCTTCCTCTCTGTAAAAAAAATCAATTAAAAAAAAAAAAAGAATACCAGTGGACTGGTGCATGGATTCATGCACATTGAAAGGAAATTAATTAGAAGATTTGCATGGTAATTACATCATTGCAAAATATTACATGTCAAAATAGTATTTATAATATCCTATCTAATAAAAGTAATATGCAAATAACCATCACTCCACTATACCTATAAATCACACCCACCAACCCATCAGGATTGAGTATGCAAATCAACCCAACCATGATAGCTGCGGCCACGGAATGAGTAGGAGGCTTGGGTTTCCCTGGCAATGGAGGAAGCCAAGCTTTTCACACACCCTGGGCAGCCCAGGCCTCCACTCAAAGCTACAAAGTTTCAATTATAGAAGATAAATAAATCCCAACAAAAATGGCAGCAGCCACAGAGCTGGAGAGAGCAGGAGGCTTGAGTTGCCCCCTGTGATGGAGAAAGCCAAACTTTCCGGCAGCCCTGGCTATCAAAGTGACTTGCTGAGAGGAAGGCTGAGTATTAGTCTAATTATTAAGGATTAATCTGTTTTCTTTGAAACTTTATTTTGGGCTTCAAGACTAACCCACTCATGTGGTAGAAACATGGGTTGACTTATTGCTTCATTAAGTTGTGATGAAAACTTAATGGCTGCACAGTTTGTTGGGCAGTGGTTTCTGGGAATTGGATTCCTCCTCTCAGCAATGTGTCGTTCCCCCCCTTTTTTAAATTGAATTTATTGAGGTCACACTGGTTAACAAAATCATACAGGTTTTAGTTGCACAATTCCGCAACACGTCATCTATACACTGTATTGTGTATTCACCACCCCAAGTCAAGTAACAATGTGTTAGTTTGAAGAATCATGCTGGTTAAGTCATATTTTGACTTTTCATAAGCAACTGGATCTATTTTGGGGTGTATATTTCAAGCACCTCTGAAAGTAGTAGGGGTCTTTCTCCCCACCTCTGAGGGATAAGTGTATTAAATACCCCTGATTCTTTTTTTTTTTTTAATATATATATTTTTTATTGATTTTTTACAGAGAGGAAGGGAGAGGGATAGAGAGTTAGAAACGTTGATGAGAGAGAAACATCGATCAGCCGCCTCCTGCACATCCCCCACTGGGGTTGTGCCCCCAACCAAGGTACATGCCCTTGACCGGAATCGAACCTTTTAGTCCACTGAGCTCTAAGCTTAGAGGTAAAATTGTATACTTAACTAGTGCTCTAAGCTTAGAGGTAAAAGAGCCCTAGTTAAGTTTACAATTTACCTATATGTTCTTAAAAATTCTAGTTTAGCACTTCTTAATTGGGATTCAGGAATCTGTATTTTAAAACTCCACCAGGTGTTTCTCATCATGAGAGAAATTTGGGAAACACTGCCTTAGAGTTTAGGAGATGCATGCTTGTGGGAGACGGGAAAAGCTTGGGCATGCTCCCAGCAAAAAGAGCGCACTGACATTTTCTTCTAAGAAACATGACTTGAAAAAGTCGTGACTCAGTTACTGATAAAATCAATGTTATTTATTGTGCATATTTGCTACTGCTAGGCTGCTTAAAAATTCTTTAGATTTATGATTCCAACATCATCTTTGAATTCTGTGTATTTGAAGTACTGTACCTGATGACTTGTGTGTTAGATTAGATATTGATTCTGTTAAATTCAAATTAATAGATAATATTTACTAGGAAGATTCCTTTTTATGAATCCTTTCTGTAGGCTAGTTGGGATCAAGGAACAAATTACCTGTCCAAACTAATTTATAATCAATGGATTAGATCAGTACTGTGGTTCTCACCCTCAGGTGCACATTAGCATCACCTGGGGAGCTTTTAAAACCTTGATATCTGGCTGTACCTCAGACCAATTAAATCAGAGTCTGTGGAGCTGGATGCAGGTATCGTTAGTTTTTTTTAAAGGAACTCCAAATGATTTCACTGTGCAGCCAGGATTGAGAACTTCTCAATCTGGTAGGAACTTCCACTTTTACATTTAATAAAGCAGTCATCCTTTCACCCTGTATGTGTATTATTGTAGTGAACGCCTTAAAGTTTCCATGTAAATCTCTTTTGAATCTGCCTGTATTTTAATTGGGAGTCTGCCATTATGGGCTTAATGAGTATATCCTGGATTGTCCTGTGCTATGTGCCAGTCACTGGAAAGCCCTTTTTATATATGATCCCATTTAATCTTTACAACAACCTTAGGATACTTAGGTGTTATTTACTTTGTTTTTATAAGTGAAGAAACAGGTTTAGAGTGGGTAAGTGACTTGCCCAAGGTTTGAGTCCAAGCATCTTTAACCTTCAAATACTTCCCTTTCTAAGGTATGTATAGACAATTAACACTTGGAGCCAGCCACTTTTTATGATGGGCTTGTTCACTAACAACATGTTATCAAATAGGGGCCTGGTTGAAAGCACCCCTTACTGATAAGGCATATAAAGACAAACTTCTGACAGAGTGATGTGATAGAATCTCTAGCCCAACACAGAGAAAATCCCTATGTAAATTGGGGAGTTCTAATCCTCTTCTGAACATCTCGTAATTTTAAACTGGCTTGCTACCATAGATCTTAATGGAAATAATTGGATTTGGTTAACCCATCTAAAAACAAATGTACACTCACACCTGTCAGAATGGCTATCATCAATATATCAATAAACATCAGGTTTGGTGATAATGTGGAGAAAAGGGAACTTTTGTTGGTGGGAATGCAAAATGGTGCAACCAATATGGAAAACAGTATATAGGTTTCTCAAAAAATTAAAAATGGAACTGCCCTGTAACCAAGCATTTCCATTTCTGGGTATACTAATATATCTGAAGAAACCCAAATTGTTAATATGCACCCCTGTGTTCATTGCAGTTTTATTTACAACTACTGGCCCAGTGCACATTGAAAGGAAATTAATTAGAAGAAATATTTTAATATTGATATTCGCCCTTTATAATAGAAGTATCAACCAAATTCACAATGACAGATTGAAACACACACGTGATTGGCACCAGCAAGAACTCTATATGTATCACACAAAGGCAAGTCATCTTAGCCATATATATATATAATAGAATAAACTTGCTTAATTACACCTGCTTTCTGATTTAGCTAAACTTTTTTCAGTTCAATGAAGCACCCCAACTTCTCTTTCTTTTTTCAGCTCAATGAAGCACCCCAACTTATAGATACAGAGAGCAAAGTGACGATTGTCAGAGGGGAAGGGAGTTAGGGGGCTGGGTGAAAAGTTGAAGGGATTAAGAAGTACACATTGGTAGTTACAAAATAGTTATAGGGATGTAAAGTACAGCATAGGAAATATAGTCAATAATATTGTATTACTGTATGCCAGGTGGATTCTTGAAATTTCAGGGGATCACTTTGTAAAGTATGGTTGTCTAGCCACTGTGCTGCACACCTGAAACTAATATAAAATGATATGGAAAAAATTAAAGCAAATGAACAGTTTTAAACATAGTTACCTGTGCTACTGGATACTGTATTGAAATCATAGAAGCCAAAATACTGTTGATGATGGGGGAGTTTTTTCTCTTAACTTTATTCAGTACTAGAGGCCTGGTGCACGAATTCATGCACAAGTGGGGTCCCTTGGCTTGGTCTGTGAGATCAGGCTGAAACTGGCTCTCTGACATCCCCTGAGGGGTCCAGATTGTGAGAGGGTATAGGCCAGGTCCAGGGACCCCACCATGTTCCTCCCTGACCCCCCCATGCACAATGGGGGTCAGGGAGGGACATGGGAGGTTGGCCAGCTGGGGAGGGTCTACCAGAGGGCTCTGGGTATGTCTGGTCTGTCTTGCTCAGTACCAATCTGCCAGACCCCACCAGCAAGCTAACCGAGAGGTTGGAGTAGTCAGTGCATGTCATAGCGACTGGTTGACCAGTCGACTGTCTGCCCCCTGGTGGTCAGTGAGCAGTTGATCGGCCTTAGCATGTAATTAGCATATTTTGCTTTGATTGGTTGAACGGACAACCACATAGTTAGCATATTAGGTTTTATTATAAAGGAGAGTCCAGTGATGGTCTGTTAATGCTTTATAGATACTGAAACTCTTCTCTTGGGATCTAGTAGTCTCATTCACTGTAATAAATCTAATTATTATGGGTTCCAGAAGATAACTTTGGAATGTCAGAATTATTTATATTAGGAGTGCTAGGCAAGAAGTGTAAATGAATCAGTAGATAATCAGGTGGAATAGGTGAAAAGTAGTAGGTAGTGATGGGATTCATGATGAGCTCATGTTCCATTTTTAGGGATGAGAATAGGCTTCAGTCTGTTGTTATCATATCTCCTAACTCATCTCTAGAACCTGGAAATCAAAACTTAGGTGAAATTTCCAAATTTTTAGGTAAAATCTCCCAAATAAAAAGTCTATGTGAATTCAGCCTCCTGAGGTTTACCTGCTGGTCCTCTATGCTTTTGAATCTATCCTGAATGATGGATGCTGCTCTTTGCTAAGCTCTTTACCCTTATTTAATTAAGGCCAATTCCCTTAGGATGAATTCATAATGTAGTTACTAGTAGCTTATACTCCAAAAGGACAAGGCTCTCCCTCCTCAAACCGTAGTCCCATTGGTTGCTGCAGTTGCCTTTGAGACTATGTCAGCTTTCCCTTAAGTCAAGTGCAGACTCAGGTTTTAATGTAATTTTGAGAAGCAAACAGATGTTAGGCATAGTTATTATTCCTTTACATTGGATTTGGCTGTAGGACATCCTTTTGTCAATGAGTGTAATGCTGTATGCTCTGTAAAACTACATGACTTGTGCCAGGCCAGTATGGTAAGTGGTTGAACATCAACCCATGAACTAAGATGTCACCAGTTCGATTCCTGTCAGAGCACAGGCCTGGGTTATGGGCTCAATTAGGAGGCAGCCAATCAATGTTTCTCTCTCACAGATGTTTTCATCTCTCTCTCCTCTCCCCTTATCTCTCTCTAAAATTAAAAATAAAACAAAATAAAACAAAGAAACACCCACAAAAACAAAACAAAACTGTATAACTTCTAAGTTCCTCTACATTTATTGAGCTCTTACTGAAGCACTTTTCTGTAACTGAGTATCTCTGGTGACTTAAACATGATGGAAGTCTTTATTTTGGCACATTTTTGCCCAATCTCCTCCAGTAATTAATTTTTTCTTTATATTATAGACATATAGTTGGAAAGAGAGGGGACACTAAGAAGAAACTAGAGGTGGAGACCAAAACTTCTATTAGTATTCCTAAACCTGGACAAGAAGGAGAAATTGGTGAGACCCAATGTATATGTGATATTTGCAGTCATTTTTGTGTGTGTACGGAATAATGTAACCCAGCTGAGGTGTTTAGTGACTCTATTCTTTATGAGGTTCTGTAGCTATTGGCCTTTTTGTGATGTGTCAGTATCAACCTAACAAATGGGGAAAGATGTAATTATATAACCTGATCTTGATTGAGTACCTGGGCCTTCATTTTATACTTTACCAGGCACTGATGGAATAAAGCTTCCGGATTTCATTGTGATTTGATTTATTTTATGCTTTAGTAGCTTGAAGTGGAGTGTGTGAATTGTTGCAAGTTAAAATTAGAGAAAACCAATGAGGCCTGCAAGTTTGAAATAAAGTCCAGCCCTTTCCATACGCTTGTTTTCCCCTTGCTTTGTAGACTCTGAGTAGTGATTAAAATGCCAGCCTAATTCAAATAACTGCTCAAGTGAGGAAAAATAGTTTGGTAATATAAAACAAGTCAGAAAATGTCTGTACTAAACATCAGTGTGAACCAAGGGCAACGGCTTTGAGTAAAGCAGTGTAGGGACAAATTTTTAAAAAATTCATCCTAAAACTATAGGACTTCTAAAAAACCAACTAAGCCGAAACCGGTTTGGCTCAGTGGATAGAGCGTTGGCCTGCGGACTGAAAGGTCCCGGGTTTAATTCCAGTCAAGGGCATGTACCTTGGTTGCAGGCACATCTCCAGTAGGGGGCGTGCAAGAGGCAGCTGATCGATGACTCTCTCATTGATGTTTCTAACTCTCTACTCTGTATCTCTCTCCCTTCCTCTCTGTAAAAAAATCAATAAAATATATTTTAAAAAAATAAAAAAATAAAAATAAAAAATCAACTAAGTTCAGCAACCTTCAATAATCTATTTTCCATGAACACCCACAGATTGTATTGTTTTAGGAGAAAAAAATTCAAGTACTGTTCTTATTTTGTGCTCCATAAGAATAATCACCGTGACAGTTAAGTAACAGTTGACTGTAGAGCAGTGCTGTTCAAAAGAACTTTCTGTGACGATGGTGTGCTCTCTGTCGGCACTGTCCAGCACAGGAGCCACTGGCCACATGCGACTACGAGTACTTGAAATGTGGCTAGTGTGACTGAGGAACGGAACTAGTAATTCTATTTAACTCCAATTCGTTTAACCTCTCGTCTAACGAGCTGCATGTGGACTCCTGTATTGGACAGCGCAGTACTCGAGTTTCTCCAGCATCTTGTAACTTAAGTAAACTCCAGCCCAAGAACGTTAACGACATTTACGAAGGACTTTTTAAAAATAAATATTCAGTTCATTAGAATTACAGGTGAAGCCGTGGCTGGTTTCGCTTAGTGGTTAAGGCAACTGAAAGGTTGAGGGTTTGATTCCCAGTCAAGGGCTTGTACCTGGGTTGCAGGTTCAGTTGCTGGTCCTGGTCAGGGCTTGTGTAGGAGGCAACCAATCCATGTGTTTCTCTCACATCGAAGTTTCTTTCCCTCCCCTTGGTCCTCCTTCCCTTCCTTTCTCTCCTTCCACACTTCAATGGAAAAAATACCCTTGGGTTAGGGTTAACAACAACAACGAAAAAGACTTACAAATAATAAAAAACTTGGGTCTTTCCTTAAGCTTTAAAGTTCAAGTTACAAATATTGAAATATTTTATAATTGCATTTAAGCTTATTTATCTATCCCCCCACCTTAATTTTATAATTACTGTATGCTTTATACATGGGAGAAGCTTGCAGAAATTATATACTGGTATAAAGGGAAATCTTTCTTTTTTTTAATATATATTTTATTGATTTTTTTTTTTTACAGAGAGGAAGGGAAAGGGATAGAGAGGTAGAAACATCGATCAGCTGCCTCCTGCATACCTCCTATTGGGGATGTGCCTGAAACCAAGGTACATGCCCTTGACCGGAATTGAACCTGGGACTTTTTAGTCCACAGGCCGAAGCTCTATCCACTGAGCCAAACCAGTTAGGGCAAGGGAAATCTTTTGTAATAGGAACTCCAAAATTAATTGTCATTGACAGTTGAATATGTTCCCCATTTTCGCTATCCATATGGTAATATATAAATAATTTTTATTTTATTTTTATTTTTAAAAATATATTTGTATTGATTGCAGAGTGGAAGGGAGAGGGAGAGAGAGATAGAAACATCAGTGATGAGAAAGATTCATTGATTGGCTTCCTCCAGCATGCCCCCTACTGTTGATCAAGCCTGTAACCCAAGCATGTGCCCTTGGCCGGGACCGGTTTGGCTCAATGGATAGAGCGTTGGCTTGGGGACTGAAGGGTCCCGGGTTCGGTTCCGGTCAAGGGCATGTACCTTGGTTGCGGGCATATCCCCGGTAGGGGGTGTGCAAGAGGCAGCTGATCGATGACTCTCTCTCATCAATGTTTCTAACTCTGTATCTCTCTCCCTTCCTCTCTGTAAAAAATCAATAAAATATATTAAAAAAAAAAAAAAAAGCATGTGCCCTTGACTGGAATCAACCTGGGACACTCTGGTCCACAGGTCGACACTCTATCCACTGAGCCAAGCAGGCTAGGCTGGGTTTCTATCTATGTGTAGGAATTGCTGAGTCATATGGTAATTCCTTTTTAACTTTAAAAAATATATACATATTTTTATTGATTTCAGGGAGGAAGAGAAATAGAAATATCAAGGATGAGAGAGAATCATTCATTGGCTGCCTCCTGCATGCCCCCTACTGGGTGGGGATCAAACCCACAACGCAGGCATGAGCCTTGATTGGGAATTGAAGTGTAGCCACCTGGTTCATAGGTCGAAGCTCAACTGCTGAGCCTACACTGCCAGACTCTTTTTAACTTTTTAAGGAACTGCCAAACTTTTTTATAGCAGCTGCACCAGTTTACATTTCCACCAAAAAAGTATGAGGGTTTGCTTTGTAGCTTTTGCTTTGTCCTCATTTTTCTAGTTCATCAGCTGGTCTTTAAGAATTTTTTGTTTTAAGACCTCATCTGCTTAGACTGAATTCATTTTAAGTTTCTTATTCTTGATTCTGCCCACTGTTTAGAATTATGTACACATTCAGCAGCTCCCCACGTAAGACAGCATCAGGAGGTCGCTTATCTTACAAGCATTTGATGGTCCTTGAGTAGGTTAATCGTATGTTTTGTTTGTTTGCAGTAATCACTGGCCAGCATCGAAGTGGTGTAATTTCAGCCCGAACTCGGATTGATGTTCTTTTGCTCACTTTTAGAAGAAAGCAGCCCTTCACTCACTTTCTTTCCTTTTTCCTCAATGAAGTTGAGGTTCAGGAACGATTCCTGAAGTTCCAGGAGGAAGTACTAGAGAAGTGTTCCATGGTAAGTAGCAAACTAAATAAAAAAGTTTTAAAAGAAAAATGAAGAGTACAAAAATGGTTCATAATTGAAACAATAGATACAAATTTCTTCTACCAAGAAGGTAATCATATCTGATGGTTCCTTTCATTTTTAAAAAATATATTTTATTGATTTTTTTTATAGAGAGGAAGGGAGAGGGAGAGAGAGTTAGAAACATCGATGAGAGAGAAACATTGATCAGCTGCCTCCTGCACATCTCCCACTGGGGATGTGCCTGTAACCAAGGTACATGCCCTTGACCGGAATTGAACCCGGGACCCTTCAATCTGCAGGCTGACGCTCTATCCACTGAGTCAAACTGGTTTCGGTCTGATGGTTCCTTTTAATTCCAAGCTGATAATAAAACAAAACTGTAGACAAATCAGCACATAAGTGTCTATATATTATTGAAATATTCTTAAAAAATTTTAAGACACAAAAGGATCATCTTAATATACATACTGTCCTGCACCTTGTGGATGGCAATGCTAATGAGATGTCATTATCTGTAGATCTTCCATCTCTTATAATCATGGATTATTTGGGTTTAGTAACGAAAAACAATTTTGCATGTGGAATTTTTATACTTACACTAGAGGCCTGGTGCACAAATTCATGCACTGGTGGGGTCCCTTGGGGTGGCCTGTGGAGATCGGGCCCCCAGCTCATGCCTCCAGCATTGCAGCCCTGCCTGGCACCCTGCTGTGGCCTGGCACCATCCTCTCACCTACTCCACCATCCCAACTGTGGGGCAATCAATTGGGTCTGGGGCCCCTTGCTGCTGTCATTGGTCATTATCTGCAGGATGGTTGGGGCTGATTACAACCCTTCCCCCCCCAGCCTGGCTCCCTCAGCACCTGGAAGCTGGGTGGCAGCCCTGCCCCCACTACTGCCACTGGTGCAGGCTGATCAGATCCCTGCTTGCACCTGCCTTGGCCTGGTACTGCCTACTCACCTATTCCACCATCCTGCTCTTGTAGGGACCCATCAGGGCCAGCAGCGCCTTCAGCACTGTGTTGCTGACACCTGCATGTTCCGTGCGCCCCCTGGTGGTCAGCGCATGTCAAAGCAAGCGGTCAAACCCCCATTTTCCCTATTGAACTCCTGATTGAACCACTGCCCAAGGGGATAATTTGCATATTAAGCTTTTATTATGTAGGACTAGAAGCCTGGTGCATGAAATTTGTAAAAATTCAGCCCAGCCTGCACCCTCTCCAATCTAGGACATTCCTCTCACAATCCAGGACTACTCGCCAGCTTGCCTTCTTGATTGCCCCTAACCACTTCTGCCTGCCAGCCACATCACCTCTAACCATTCCCCTGCCAGTCTCATTGATGCCTAACTGTTCCCCTGCCAACCTGTTTGCCCCTAACTGCCCTCCCCTTCAGGCCTGGTCACCCCTAACTGCCCTCCCCTGCAGGTTTGATTGCTCCCAACTGCCCTCCCCTGTCAGCCATCCTGTGGCAGCCATCTTGTGTGTTGGAGTGATGGTCAATTTGCATATAACTCTTTTATTAAACAGGATGATGATTAGCTTTTTACTATATAGGATAGTCCTAGGAATTGAAAAAAACTATGTGTATGTTGGAGACTTTTGCTATGTATATTCAGATTACCTTTAGGAAATGCTATAGCATTTTATACTTCAAACTATAGCTTTCTATAGGTTTCTTTTCCTACCCTTGCCAATACTGGGTGTTATCATTCTTTTATGTACTTTTTGTAATTCAGTGGACAAAAAATAGTAGCTCATTGCTTTACTGTTCATTTGTATGATTATTGGTATGAAGACTTTTTCAAATGTTTAACTCTTCTTCCTTTGTGTTTTGATTGATTTTTCTCTGAGAGTGTTCATTTCTTAAGTTCTGAGAGTCATTCATGTTGTTATGTGTTGTATTAGTTAATTTCTTTTTATTGCTGAGTAGTAGTCCTTTGCTTAAATGAACCAAAATATTTTATTCATTCAACTGTTGATAGATGTGTGGGTGGTTTCTAGTTTTGGCTCTTAAATAAAACTACCACATATAATCATTTGTGCAGATATTTGTGTATATATTTTTGTTTCTCTTGGGCAGATAGTTAGGAGTATAATTGTGTAGGTATATGCTTATTTTTATAGGAAACTGTTAGACCTTTTCCCAACGAGGCCGTGCCTCTTCTACTACAAATGATGTATGAGAGTTTAGATTGCTCCACATTCTTGCCGACATTTGGTTGTATCTCTCTTATTTGATTTTGACCTCCTTGGTAGGCATGCTCTAGTATCTCTTGGTGTTATCTGTAGGGAATATGTTTTAACACCCCCCCGATCCCTGAAATAACAGATTTGGAACTCTGTCTTTTCCTATGCATGCATACATACAGACATACATACTAGGATAAGTTTAGGGCTTCTCTTTGGCGTATCTACATTATCAGCAGCACTACTCTTGCACTTTGGAGCCATTAAAGCAACATAAGAGTTACTTGAATATAAATACTGTAATACTGTGTCAGGTGATCCTGATAATCAAGATGACTACTCAGTGACTAATGGGTGGGTAACATATACAGCATGAATAAACTGGGCAAAGGAGTGATTCACACCAACAGCTGGACAGAGCTAGAAGGCACAAGATTTCATCATGCTACTCAGTGTGGAGAGAAAACATGGAATTTTCTACCATTTTGAGTGAATCTTTCTCTTGGTTAGGTATTTGCTTGGTTGTTGTAGCTTCTTAATTGGTTTCTATAGTTCTCCCAGAGCTACTTTGGTCTGAATGTTACTGTTTATTTGGTCCCTCCCTGGCTGGCCAACCTCCGTGTCCCTTTCTGGCCCTGATCATGTACCAGTTGGGTCCCTTGACGTAGCCTGTGCCCTCACACAATCCAGGCTGAGGGACCCTCCCCCCATCCCAACACACACACACCCCGAGTGCATGAATTTCGTGTACTGAGCCTCTAGTACAGTATAATCCCAGCAGTGATGTCTCATATTCACAGGTTCCACTACAATCAAAGGAGAGGGGATTATATAAAAGTGAGGGTCGCTGAGGGTCATTCTGCCTACACAGCCATTAATTTTCACTTTTAAACATTGTTGTGAAGGTCACATTTTTAACACAACAGACAACTTTTCTATTTCTAGGTCTTATCCTGTTCTTCCCTTACTGTTTCTTGAACTTCTCTTTTCTTCCTTTAAAATAGTCGGCCTCTTTTCTCTATTTGGTAGTATTCTTGTCCTTACCTTACCCTTGATGCTCTAAAGAAATGTGAATTTATCTTTTAGGACAGCATTTCCTGAAATCACCTTCCTTTGTGCTGGTCAATTATATAAGAAATGTTGTTTGACTGCAGACATTATCACCATCATCCCTGGTTCCGCTCCCTAAGCTTGAGCATTTAATGTAGGGTTTAGCTGCTCAGAGGCATTGGCAAGGTATTTCTCATCTATGTGATCTGCAGATAAACTGCACCTTACTTTTTCACTGTCTTCTCTTTCATTAAGATCCAAAGATGTCTCACTGTCTGCAGGTTCAAGAAGTATATTAAAACCTTGTCTATCTCTCCATCATTCTATAGCTAGTCATGCTGCTATAATTCCATTTTATCTCACAGCAGGGTTCAGTAGAAAGTGCATCAGTAATGAAAAACAGTAATTCAAAGCTGTGTTTGGTGGAGTATTCTGAAGGCTTCTAGATCTGTCTAAAGCTACAGGGAATTTCTCAGGCTGCCTGGAGAATCCAAATAGGTTATAGCTTCAGAAACTAAATGGTTCTGCTGATATTGTATGTGAAGGCTGGCACTGCACAGAAATGGCTCATGGATCTGGGATCTCCTCTCAATTAGGATTAGTTTTTTCTTTGTTTAGTATTATTCACTGAAGAAGAAAATTTATTTATAAAATCTTTAGTGTATGATTTAGGATTCTTTATGTGTAAGGGGAGTTCTGGGATTTATAATTATCTTATGAATTAGTTTAAAATGAAGATGACAAAGTTGTCTTTGGTTGTAAGAAAGTTGTAAATTGAGTTCTGATGTTGGGTAGAATAGTAGGAAATGACAAGACCTTTATTGCAGCATTTGGATGCAGACAGTTGTGAACCAGTGTTTATCTTTTATTCATTCATTCACTGTTTACTAAATTTCTGTCATTTGCCAGACTATATATTATGCACTAACAATGGGCTCTAGGGCAGTGGTCAACAAGCCACGGCTCGCAAGCCACATGCGGCTCTTTGGCCCCTTGAGTGTGGCTCTTCCACAAAATACTACGGCCTGGGCGAGTGTGTTTTGAAGAAGTGACGTTAGAAGAAGTTTAAGTTTAAAAAATTTGACTCTCAAAAGAAATTTCAATCGTTGTACTGTTGATATTTGGCTCTGTTGACTGATGAGTTTGCCGATCACTGCTCTAGGGAGAAGTAGTGTTCTTACAGAAATAGTTATGGTCCGTGTGCTATTAGAGAGGAGAACATGGGTACCCAGAGGAGAGGATCTGCAGTGGTCGGAAAAGGCTCCATAAAGAAGGTGACACTTGAAGAGAATCTTAAAAGAAAGAGTTGCCAGGCTGGCAAGGAGCAGTCGATCATTTTGGGCAGAGGAAATGGCACTTGCCAGGAGTGCAAGTGTTCAGTCCATTATGTTTAGGGGAGAGTGAGGAATTTGTTAAGACTAGAAAGTGGGCAGGGTAAGGCAGGGAAGAGGTAGGAGTTAAGAGCAGAAAGGCAAACAGTATCCACCTGGTTGTGAATGGTCTTTGTAGGGTCTTGTGTGAGTTTAAGCAGAGACTAATGTGATTAATTTAGCATTATAGAAAAATCCTGAAGGCAGTGTGGAGGATGGATTGAGAGTTAAAGTGTGAGGTATCAGAGGCAGCTACCAGTTAGAGACTATTAATGCAGTCTGTTGGAAAAAGGCTAGGGTCTCTGACATATTTAGGAGGAGATATATTCCAGAGATGTTTGAGAGGTTTTCTCTAAGGGATAATAATAGTACCTTCCTT